ACGCAGACTTTCGCAGCTTCTCAGCCATCCACTCCTCCGTAAGCATAAGTTCAATGCGTAGGCGGCTGTTGGCATAACGAGCAACAGAGCTCGACTAAAAACAATCGGGTGGCCGACACGCACACATGGCAGTTTTTAATCCGGTTCTTTCAGCTCACTTTGGACTTGTGTCATCTCTCGGGTCTTCTGCTCTTTCAGGAAAGACCGCCCGTCAATCCTCTCGAGCGTCGCGAATCTCGTAAATAAGCGAAGACGAATTCGTTTTCATCTGACACGCGTATTCGTACGAGCAAAGTGCTCCAGGCGGTGGGCGTATCAATGGCTGGTGATAACCATAGAAACAGTGTCACGGCGGGCGCTAGCACCGTAGCGGAGAGAGGACATTGTAGGCCAAAAAGGTGGAGCAGCGACTCTGTGTCTGAGGCAGAGACGACGTGATAGGAGCTCACGAGCGGAAAGGTTTGTACGTCTGTCAGCAGCTGGGGCATGATCTGGATGGGTGAGGCGTCGGGAGCGTCGGACGTTATCGCGTTGAGATCGTTTTGAACTACTTCGTGCTCATCGCCTCGACCGCGTAGTTTTGCAAATGTGCAGTGGTAGCCTGGGTGTTTTATCGCCACTAGTTTGTTGATCTAACTCTCCGTGTCGCTCGTCGTCTTTCGTGCTGCGTCCTCCTTGTCATCTTTAGCCCACCGATCACGGAGCTTATATCATGTTAATCTACCGAATCTGTGCCAAATGATCATGTCGACGTTATTTTTAAAGTTTACAATTAGGACGTGATGGCTCTCTAAGCGGAAGTAACATGCCTTTACTTTTCGTTGACATGTCTTGGCGGAGCTCTAGCATATTGGGTTTGATCAGCCCGGCCTTCACTAAGCATATAAGCCAATAATACTGGTTTTTTTGGAAATTACATTGGTCTGATTGGGCCAATACAAGTCCATTTTTAGTCTCGGCGATTCGATTCATGAGGGTTGCCGCCGATTTAGATGGAGAGCGGGAGAATATTGATGTGCACAGGTTGTACGATCTTGGCAAAGATGAAGTGGCCGATAAATGAGAACAGT